TCCAAACTTTATTCCCAGGCTTCTTCAGCTTAATTTGCTGCAAAGAGTGAATTGTGTTTAAGCAAAAACTGAAAAGAGCTGCAGTGTCCAAGGGGCTTGGGCTTAAAAATATTAGCGATCTAGATTTGATCAGATCCATAAACAAAAGACCTTTAAAAAGCAGCCATGATATAAAATAGCAGCTCCTGTAACTTCTGCAAGAGTCACTTCTTCAGAAGTCCCCTCCGTTCAGTTTGCCTCGTTCTTAGAAGCCTCATCAAAATTCTCCACCAGGTCTGGGACTTCATCATCATCATCCTCTCCAGTAGCAAGGGGTGCTTTTCCATCCACAGATTGTTTGGGCAGAGCTTCAGCCAGTCTCCTTAAACTAGTCAGACTGTCTGCCCCAAGCTGGTTTAGAATGCTGGGAAGCATTTCTGTCAGTTGCTTTGTCTCGGCGTGGCCTGTAATGGTGAAGGTGTTTGCTGCCAGAGACGCCTGAACTTTAGGGTTGTTAAAATGGATCACTGTTCCTTGGTTTGTAAACATGTTCACCTCTTCAATACCAGAGATATTGTTCACCCCTAACTTCTTTAAGGAGAACTGCAGTTTTTTATCATCTGCTGTGGCTGTTCTGTGAACCACCTTCTTCTTTCTGTGAGCAGTTCCTTTCCCACCAATGCGCACTTGTGCCTGCAGCTTGGCCAGTTTTTCCTGGTTCATGATCGTTTCTTTCATCTTGTCGGAGTGGAAATGGGGCCGCGCGGGGGACTAGGGTTCGCGCTCAGGGGGTCTCGGGCGGACCAGCTGAGATAAGGCGCACACACGCGGGGACGCAAGATGGCAGCTCTTTCTTTCTCATTTTTAACTTTGATCTCTGAACACATGCACACACAGGGACACGGACACACACACCATTGGAGCAGGCATAATGTTTAATTAGTTATGTCTCACCACCCCTTTTGAGCCGCTCGTAAAAAAATAAATATTCACCTGACGAGTTTCTAAAGCGTATTATGACTCTATTTTCTTACTATCAATCCAAAAACGTTAATAAACACAGTAACAATGAGGCTGGTGGTCTCTGGGCATAAGAATCAGAGTGCAGTGGTCTGATGGACTTGGAACTGTCTGTGGATACGTGACAGGCAGGATTTTAAAGTTCCACATCTTCATTGTCTCAAGGACACGTTCGACCTACTGCAGATTATTTAAAGTCAATCTCCCGCAGTTGCTGGCTAGATTGGCATTTCATTATACTTGAAGTGTCATCTTCAACTCCCTCCTACCTCTAGCAATTAGCCAAGAAAGATCCAGAGCCGGGGGAAAAGGTTTGTAGGAGCTCACCAGCTCTTCAGTTCACCCTGGGACCACGCAGACTCACCAGGGAACACACTAGACAAGGCAAAGAAAACACACGTGGGAGCATCTCCCACACCTGGCTCTTGAGGCAAAATTAATCTAACCTAAAACTTTGAGTTGACTCCTAGGAAACACTGTAACCCTGTCCAGGCTTTTTCATTGCTTGACATTAAGGGATGGTAAAAATTTAGAAGGCCTTTAAACTATAATAGGCAACTTTCAAGGCCTGGAAAATGTTGCGTAGTGTCTTTGTAGAATATAGGGATAGCAAGTACCATATCTCCTGAAATCTGCCTCCCAGGCAGGATAGTAAAGTCCTTTACCTTTGGACAACACTATAGTTGCTATATAGAAGCTGTCAGTATTGTTATCTGCCCCATTCCCAATGCTATCTGCCATAGAAAGTTAATATTGGGAAGGACCCCATGTGAATTGTGTAAAAGTCCAGGGTTAAACCCAAGTCATCTCAAGTATTTTTGAGTTACATGAACTATATTTATTATTTACAGTTTTATTATCAGTATTATCGTCATATTCATCACCACTGTCATTATCGTCTCCACCATCATCATCACCGTGGTCACCATTATCATCACCACCACCATATCCACACTACCATAGCAGCACCCCCGCCATCATCATTCCCATACCACCTCATCTAATGGTGAGGTCATCATTAATACCTCCACAGTCACCATCATCTTCACTACCACCATCAGCATCTTCCAGCGTGTAGTGTTGTTTAAGTTTGCTTAATGCAACATCTAGGCTCTGTTTCTCTCCTTGGTTTGCCTTTCCATGGATGGCACAGGGACAAATCTCATCACTTATTAAACTGGCCCCAGTGGAAAAGCTGTCTGGAGTCACTCAAAAGTTTATCTTCCCTAAGCTTTGAAATTTCTTTCAGTCCAAGAGATATCCTATAAATGTGTTTGGAAGGAACATCAGCTCTTGGGATCAGTGTGAAGTACCCTGGAAACAATCACTGTAATCTCTGCAGGAGAGATGTCCACAACAGGCTATGCTCTGTCCAGTATGTCGATGCGAATCAATGAGGGCGAAACTACATCTATGTAGCCTTCAAGTCTTAAAACACTTTTTTAAAATTTTTAATAATTACTCATGCTACTGTGTGCAGAATTTGTACATGAAGCAGTAAGGCATTTGTCTAATACCATATTATCTAAACTTGATGTACAGAATTTTTTAAGGAAAAAAAAAACAAATGTAAGAAGTTTCTCTTGAAAAAAAAAAAAGAAGTTTCTCTTGTTTGTGCTGGTTCACTAGGTAACTGTGGACCATACACTGTAATGTGTATGGGTGTATATGTGTCAAGTAGGGTCTGGGAAGAAGGGAAAACTCAGGGCGGACTTGTAAGAGACATATGCAGACCAGCCTCAGGAAGTTTGACATTTGCAGGCAAAGAAAATACCTCCCTCATCTCAGCCCTTGGTAAGCAGTACTTAAGAAATGCTCCAAGTTGTGTGTGTATGTATGTATGTATGTGTGTGTGTCCATTACTGCACACAACAGTGAGTTTTGTATGACGTTTTCCTCATCTATATCATTGTAGTTTGTTCATATCGACTCTCATCCTCCCTCCCATTCTCTCATCCTACTGGTCCCTCTCCCTCTAAATAATTTCCCTCTTCTTTCATATATATATATATATATATGAATTTCCTCATAAGAGAGAAGCATTCAATATTTGACTCTCTTCCCACCACCACCCCTTCTTGTTCCCCCACATAGCCCCCTTCTACTTTAAGGAGCTATATACATTTTTCAGATCTGAATTCTGCATGTAAGAGGAAACACATGATATTTGTTGTGAATATGGCTCATTTTATTTAACACAGTTGTCCCAGTTTAACTTCCTACTGAGGTGGGAAAAAAAAAAAGAAAACACCCTGACAAAAGCAACTTTAAGGCAGAAAAGGGCTGTTCAACTTACAGCCGCTGATTCCAGTCCTTCAGTGCAGGGAAATTTGGGGAGGAGCTTGAAGCAGCCAGTCACGTTCACAATCAGAACAGAGAGATGATGACTGTACGTATGCTTGCCTTTTAATTGATGCCAGAACCAGTCAGTATTGGTTATCATAGTGATGACCTCCAGTTCCATCTACTTTCCTGAACAGTAAAGATTTCGTTCTTCCTCATGGCTGCAGAAACTGCCACTGTGTGTCTTTTCTACATTGCCTTCATTTGTTCTTGGGCCAGTGGCTATCTGGGCTATCCCAGCCTCTTCAGACCTGCTGGCTTTCCTAACCCTTACAGCCTAGCGGCTAAGCACCATCGACAACGCTGTTTTAAGAGGAAGTAACCATGTCACGATGGTTTTAAGTAGCTTTCCCACAGTCACACAGCAAGTTAGTGACACCGGGATAAAAATCTAGACTAGCGTGAGAGGCAAACCCCACCCAACACCTGCTTCTGGTGACCTGAAAGCTAGGCATGGCTTTACAATTGTCAGTGGCTGGGGAACAAGTGGAGAGGCATTTCTAAACCAAGCCTCCTTGACTGCAAGCAATTATCCCTTCTGTGTGACTGCCTGTAATTTGTAAACGTTTCTCTAGAATGCACACGAGGCACATTGGTCTATGCCTTTCTTTCTCACAATTAACCCTCCGGGTTATATCTATGTTCACCTTCAGCTTGGAAGTATTCTTCCGGTTTTGTTATTTCTAGAAAAGTTTACGTAAAACTGGTATTGTGATATCCATAAATGTTTGGTAAAGTTTATTTTAAACTATTCGGAAAAGCTCAAAGGAAAAATACAATATCCTTGGGTATTCTGGGGACCGTTCAGGACTCCCTGCAGAGTCCTGATCCCTTATTAAATCGCTATGGTGTTTGCACATAACCTATACACATCCTCCCATAAGCTCTAAATCACTGCTGGGTTACTTATAATACCTAACACAATGCAGATATGATAAAAATGACTGCTGCACTATATTGCTTAGGGAATAATAACGAGAGAAAAGACAGATGCAATCTTTGGACCAAATGTCTTTGAACCTCAGTTGGTTGAATCCACAGCTACAGACCCTGTGAATAGGGTGATCTGACTGTAATTTACAACTTACAAAAATCACACATTTCAATTCTGACGACCAAACAATGAGGACCCTAAGAGGGACATACATAGATCTAATTGACATGGGAAATAGAAAAAGACAAGACCTCCTGAGTAAATTGGGAGCGTGGAGACCTTGGGAGAGGGTTGGAGGGGAGGGGAGAGGCAGGGAGGGGAGCAGAGAAAAATGTAGAGCTCAATAAAAATCAATAAAATTTAAAAAAAATGATGTCCAAAATTTCAGTGTTAGATGCATTATTTGACAAATCAGCCCAGTGATAGCTTTGTGCATCAAAGAAGGGTAAATGGGGACCATGTGGCCCCACAGAGTCTCTGAGACATCTGCTCTGTGGTCCTAATAGGATAGTCGGCCAATCTCAGGCTGAAATCTGCATCTCAGATCTTAACTATTTCACTGTTGAAGTGAGTAAATTCTACCCTGCCTTCATGTCTCCAACTCACCCCTGTGCCCCGACTGCTTGATTTTTGTCACACTCCCTCCCGTCGCTGCCGCAAACAAACCCTTGTGTCTCTGGACCAGTGTCCCTGCCACCTTTCACAGTCGTTTCTTCTCTCCCAGTGAACAACAGCAAGCACATCGTCAGGAAGTTCCGAGGCCACCTGCGCACCAAGATTGAGTCTGGGGAAGGGACAGTCCCTGTCCGAGGTCCCAGTGCAGTCCAGACGTGGGATGGCATCCTGCTGGGAGAGCAGCTAGTCACCATGTCCTGCACAGACAAGATTGCCAGGTAAGAGCCCAGTTAGCTGTTCTGTTTTAAAAACCAGCTATGGACCTCAAGGAGGACAACAAAGAGAGGTCCCAAACAGGTCTTAGTATTGAACCCACTCCGAGAAACACGGTGCTTGTCATCAAGGACTCAGGTGTGCGTGTTCATATGTATATGCATGTTGTGTAAGCGCACACATATGGGAGCATTGGAAAACCAGAAGTCAATGCTCAGTGCTTTCCTCGGTCATTCTCCACCTTGTATTTTGAGGACGAGTCTGTCGCTGAACCTGGAGTTCACCCTTGGGCTAGACTAGCTGACCAGCGAGTCCCAGGAATTTACCTATCTCTGACTCCGCAGCATGGGGTTTACAAGCACACGCTACCCCAACAAGACTTTTATGTGGGTTCTGAGGTATCAAATGCAGACCCTTCCATGTGAGCAGCAAGACATTTACCAATTAAGCTATGGCCCGAGCCCCTGCCCTTCCATATTTTTCTCTTTTTTTTTCTTTTTGATGTAATAGCTTTTTATTTTATTTTATTACTTTTTTAAAAATATCAATCCAAATTCCCACTGCTTAGCATCTTAGCTGGGGTCATCCTTGTGGATTCCTGGGAAGTTTTCTAGAGTCAGGCTTCTTGCTGACCCCATAATGGCTTTCTCAATCAAGATATCTCTTTCCAAAAAAAAAAAAAAAAGATATCTCTTTCCTTGCTCTCATATCTGTCCTTCCTCCATCTCAACTATCCCATTCCCTCAAGCTCTCCTCAACCCTCCCCTTCTCCCCTTCCTTCTACCCCCCACCCCCATGCTCCCAAATTTTGTCAGTAATAAGGTGAACCCAAAGAAAAACATATATAGACCCACCTGGAAATTGGACAGACAAAATCCCCTTCCATATTTTTCATTCCACCGGCTTGAGTTAAAAGCACCTTTCAAACTCACATTCCTAGAAATTTCAGGTGACCACAGTGAGGTAAAATATCTCTGACCCAAGGATTAATTATTCTTCTGTTGCAATGTTAAGTTGTAATAATTGCTTTTATGAGGAAGAAAAAGACGGGCTAAGATCTGCCATCTCTGGATGCTGTGATCACTGTCAGGGAATGCGACCGAGTATAAAACAAAGAGAGTTTTTCTCTGACGCACCTTTTACTTTGCACTAAAGGTGTTCCAAGAGCCTCCACGGGCTACTCTCAGAGAGGAGCAGCCTCAGCATCCAGGTGCACAGAAGGAATTTGCAGGAAGGGCATCTCAGCATCCTTCACAGACTCCTGCTACTTGAGAAAGGCCTGCACTAGGAGTGCGTCCCACTCCCCTTAGCCTCATGGTGATGCCAAGATCCATTCCCTGCACACCTCAATTCCAATGCCCAAAGATACCACCCACTGCAGGAACAGTTCCATAAAATGTGTTTGGAAAATACTTACAAGTTGTGCATTGAGATGAGGAGTCCCAGCAGCTTGAACCTGCCTGAAAAAGTTGTAAAGCCCCAAGCTACTGCAACCATAGCATAGGAAGATTAGAAAGGAGAATGGGAGTGGGCTGGAGAGACAGCTTGGTGGGCAAGCGCTCTTGCTGCGAAATTATGAGTACTGAAGTTCTGATTCCGGTGCCCACAAAAAAAGCTAAGAGTCCTGAAAAGGCCTGTACCTCCAACTCCAAAGGATCTTACATCTTCCTACGGAAGTACAGACATGTGTAACCATACATACACAAATACACACACACACACACACACACACACACACACACACACACACACACGACTCAGTAAATTAAAGTCCCAGGAGGCACAAGATGTGTGTCCCAGTACCTGTATAAGACGTGAGGTGTCTTATATGCTCAACAAAGGTACATGAACCAGCTAAGCCATGTTGAGTTCTGTGCCCTGAAGGACTCTCTTGAGCATCTTTCACCCCACGAAAGCCAGGGGTGCTGAGGGTTACGTTCCGCTTGCTTTTCAAGGTGGGGACATCAAACAGTGTATGGAAACACAAAGTGTCACCCCAAAGTCCAGAAATCAGCATCCAGGTCTCCTTCTTGACCCTATCCTGTGAGGATTCTGGGGCTACAGCGCCAGGAAAACATGAGCCTCTATCAAGAGTGATTCCAAATTCTCGTGGGAAATTACCAAGTAGCTATAGAAAAAAAGAGCACCATTTAGGCCCTGGCTTTGATTGGCCCTGGCTTGGCAGAACAAGGAGAGGGCTAAATGACCGTAAATCAAAGCTCGGATTTCTGTATCACAGGGAAGAACCTATAGTCTTCAAATAGCCCATCTTTGAAAAGAAAATGTATTCCTCTTTACAATATTTTCATCTCTTCTTGGAGTGAAAGGGAGAAAAAATGCAGCAATTTTCACTTTAACAAAAATTCTCTTGATACCCTCAGACAATGTTAGTTTTCTAAGTTAATTCTGTGGCTCTCCAGCAAAATGAAGAAAATTAATGCAACAGAAATGAAATCTTGTCTCTGGGATCTTAAACATCAATAGATGCTAAATTAAACAGGGGCTACAGAACCCACCTTTTATTGGTTGCCAGCAAGTCTATCGATGGGAATGCTCAAAAGACGGGCTTTATCTTTTTGATAAAATTCCCTTGGAAAAAAAGCAGAAGTTCATGTTACATCGTCTCCAGGGATAATCAAATGATGTCCTGGATGGGGAAAATACTCTAGACTGTTTCTCTTGGTGTTTTTGTTGGAATTGTTGTTGTTGTTGTTGTTGTTGTTGTTGTGGTGGTGGTGGTGGTGGTGGTGGTGGTGGTGGTGGTGGTGGTGGTGGTGGTGGTGGTAAATTAAGATTTATTTGTTTAGTTGGCTTGGCATGGATTTTAGGGTTTTTTTTTTTTTGAGACAGATCTTCTTTGTCAACCCTGGCTGTCTCTGAAACCCTGACTGGCCTTGAATTCAGGGACTCACCTGCCTTGGCATCCTGGGAGCTGGGATTAAAGGTGTGCACCACCACAGCTTTCTCCCGGTGGTTTTGAAACAGGACCACACGGTGTAGCACAAACTGAGCCAGAACTCACTGTGAAACTCAAACTGGCATTACTTGCAGTGATCCTCCTGTCTCAGCCTCCTGGGTGCATGTATGACCACACCTCACTTCTAGCCTTTTATTTTTAAGAAGGCAATTGCTAGGGGAAACAGTAATGTCTCTGCTCCAGCTGGCCACAGAGAGACCACTCCCTGAACTAGCTCAGGAACCAATGCCCTGGCACCAGATGGGTTCACTCCATCCACCTACTTAACTCCTCTTTGCCAGATGTGGTGATGGTAGGAGGAGACAGGACAGAACAGGGTATGATGGAGGCCAGGACTTAGAGATGCCCTCACATCTTGCTGTGTCCCCTCAAGGCACCTCCCAGTTTCCTTCTTCTGAGCTTCACTTTCTCTTCTGGCCTCCCTTACTTTCTCTTGTTCTCTCAGTCTCTTCTCTTCTTCTGTCTTTCTTGTTGTCTCTGTCCCTTGTCTATCTATCCCTGTATCTTCCTGTCTAGCCCCCCTCTCTGTTTCTTCCTCTGTCTTTCTAGTTCTCTGTCTGTCACTCTCCATGTCTCTCCCTTTGTCTCAGGATCTTCCTGCCTTTCTCCTATTCTTGCCCTCCATCCCTCCATCCTTTCCTCTTTCCTCCTTCCATTCATTGCTGCTCACACACACTCCCCAACCAAAGAGCTCTGAGCTCACACTACCTGCTCAGTTCCACCTCCTCTCATCACCTAGTGTGCTAACGCTTCCCTGTCCTGCAGGGAATGCTGGGAAGTTGCAGCCCTGCCCTCCTTCTATCCCATGCCATCACACACCCTGTCTCCTGCCCTGAAATGGCAGGGATACGGTACCTAATGCTGTTTGCTTGTGTTTGAGCTTGACCTTCATGGGATCATTGATGCCACTTGATTTGCATGGTGTCTGTCACAGTGAGATGCACATGATGGCTCTTGATAAACAGTGCTTATTGGTAATGATGATGAGGACAGGGTAATGATGACCACAACAGTGGCAGAGATAATACAGTCACTCTAAACAGTTCTGTCTGGACCAGGCTGGAGCAATTGGCAGAGGAATCACTTCCTTTGGCATGGAAGTCCTTGTACCTCCTCCACAGCCAGACCCTGAGCATAACATAGGAACATGAGTGCTCATACATGAGCTATTTTAGAACAGAGGCAAATTTGCCATTTTTGAGCAGGAACATATGTTATGATAATGGTTCAAGACCATAAGCATCTGCAGTGTGCATTATTTGTACGAAGGCTTCACAAAGAGACAGTCTGATAACGGATTGTTCATTTGTTTTCTAGCCTGTACAAAAACAAAATCTCAACCTAGGGCTTAAATACTGCTCAAAGCAGAGGGCCTTCACACACAGGGCCATTCAAAACTTGCTAACTGAATGGATTACTGACACTCAGTGCTCAGGAAAGTGAGGCTCTACGCGTGCAAAAATACAGGAAACATAGTCTGTAAAATACTGTGAGGATACACTGGGCTGCACAGCCTGTAACACATGATATACTGCGCCCAATATCACATCACGTTGGAACCAGCTGCACTCAGGGATTTATTATTAAATTTTTCAAGCAGTTTTGAAAGTCAGATGTTAAATACAGTCATTATTAAAAATGAAATTATACACACTCGCAGCTAAATTATACTAAAAGTAGTAAACACTCCAAGTTTGCCACTTCAGAATCATCTGGCCAATATGTGTGCTTTTGGAATTATTTACAGCTACTATGTCCACATAAGGGAATACTACAAACATCTTTATAAAGTCATGAGCTGCTGCCCAAACCAGTGTGCCTCCTAAGTCTGTGCTCAGTGACCTCAGACTGGCAGCTCAAAACTGGTCGGGTCATAGCATTTGCACCAAGGGAGCTAGAATAGGCTACAAGTGTACTGCTATTGAAGGGAGGGAGCTAACTGCTGCCGGTATATTAAGACCACCAAGTGTAGAGAGATTCTAGAAATAACTTATGTGAGGCTGGCTGTGCACTTATTGTCTGTTTTAA